AAGCTTTCCAAGAAGGAACTAGAGAGAATTTAATTATTGAAATTGCTAGACTGTTCTATTCGGCTGGCTTATCTTTCAATTTGGCACATAACCCATATTTTATTAGTGCATTTCAATATGCTGCCAATAATGTAATTTCTGATTTTAGACCTCCTAATTATAATGCACTAAAATCTACTTTGTTGTAAAAAGAAAGGGCCAATGTTGAAAGGCAACTTGAATCAATCAAAGGGACTCATAATCATAAAAGGGTAAGTATAATTATAGATGGTTGGCAGATGTACAAAGAAGGCCATTGATTAATTTTATGGGTGTAAGTAATGGAAGTCCTATATTTTTGAAGGCAATTGATGCAACTAGTGAGTATAAAGACAGATTTTACATGGCTGACTTGATAAAGAAAGTAGTTGAAGAAGTAAGGCTTCATAAGGTTGTCCAAGTAATCACTGATAATGCACTTGTTTGTAAATCTATTGGTAAGATGGTGGAAGATGAATATCCTCACATATTTTGGACACCATTTATGATGTATTGTTAACCTCTAAAATTTTATGTCATTTCATCACATTTTCCTCAGATTTTAATCCATTTTGCCTCATTTGTATATATTTTTATTCTCTAAATTAGGAAAATGTGTATTTTGCTTTGGGTTTGCATTCTTAGCTTTAATTTAATATTTTAGGCCTAATTTTGTATTATTTTGGTTTAAGATTTGATTAGATGCATTTCTAGAGTTTTGTTGATATTTTTAAATGGCTTTTAAATGAAGAAATCAAGTGCAAAAGGATAAATTTTGTTAATTGTGAAAACAGTTTAAAAATGCCAAAGTCATCAAAAAGTCACGACTTTTGCCGCTGTCAAAAAAATGATACATTTTATTTATCCAAAATTAGTTAGCTAGAACATATATATGCTGAGCGCTCGACCTAGAACTCATTCTAACACTTAAAGACACTTTGAGAGCTTTGTTGTGTTAAGATTTGAGCTTCGGATGAGTTGGGTCCAAGAGTTAAAGCTTTAAAAAGATTTGAAGCTACATTCTTTAGTTCCTTTGCTTCTTCTCCATTCTCTTCTTGTAATCTTGTAATGGTTATAAATATCTTGTATATTTGTAGCTTTTTAATGTTTATGAGTAGCTAAACTTTTTGCTGTAAGATTATTTTAAAACATTGTATGGATTAACATTATGTTCCTCCTCTTTCCTTAATGCTTCTAAGTGATTAGCTACCATTTAGATATTGAGTTCACTTAATTAATGCTTGAGAAGGCTAAATTGAGTGTAGAACTTAGGTAAAATTGTGTAAGAACTTGATATTTGCATGTTAAATGAATGGTTTTACTAGTAAGATAAAGATATACTTGCTAGCCTTGCATAGCCATATTAAGGTTGGTGTTTAAAATTGAGTTTTATTAATTGTAACAAGAGATTGGGCAATTAATTTAACTAAACACTTGTTCATGACTTGAGAGAACTTGTTCAAGTATTTTTAGAATTTTAAGTTAGCACTTATTTCATTAAAAGCATTTATGAGAGGAGGTAATTTTGTGTTATGAAATGTAAGGAGAATAAATAATCCTAGATCTCAATTTGTGTTTGAAGTTTGTGAATCAATTACTTTTCTTTATTTTCTAGTGTTTTATTTGCAAAATCATTTTCACCTAATTATATTTGGCTGAACTTAATTGAACTCACTAAGTCTTTTGTTTGATCATTGTTTTTAAACAAATCTTTAAGTGAGCGATACTTTACTTTTATTATATTACTTGCTACAACCCGTGCACTTGTGGTGAGAAACATGCATATACTTAATCTTGCCGTGAAGAATATATGTACAGTAAAAAATACAAAGGTAAATAAAATTGTTTGTGGAGGATGTCATTGGATCACTCAGGTGAGGGATGATGCATTCTTCATCCAAACATTTATCATGAATCATTCTATGAGATTGGCCATATTTAATGAATTTGTGCCATTAAAGTTGCTTACCATAGCTGAAACAAGATTTGCATCAACAATTGTGATGCTGAAGAGATTTAAACTTATTAAAACTTCTCTTCGTGCACTAGTTATTAGTGAACAATGGAATGCTTATAGAGATAATGATGTTAGAAAGGCCGCTACTGTTAAAAACATAATTCTTAATGATCTTTGGTGGGATAAGGTTGATTGTATTCTTTCTTTTACCAAATCAATTTATGATATGCTGAGATTTGCTGACACAAATAGACCCATACTTTATTTGATTTATGAGACGTGGGATTCAATGATAGAACAAATCAAGGAATCAATTTATAAGCATAAGAAAAAATCACTCTCTAATTACTCTTCATTTTATAAAGTTGTTTACAACATCATCATTGATCAATGGATAAAGAGTGCCAGTTCACTACATTGTCTTACTCACTCACTGAATCGTAGGTGTGTTATTCTTATTCTTGTTCGTGAAATTTTTTTCTTTACTATTTTTTACATTACAACTTCAATTGATGTTATTATATTATTGTAGGTATTATATAACATAATGGCTTGAAGGTGCACCAAATAGAGTCCCTCCACATTGAAATGTTGAAATATCAACTGAGAGAAAAAAAAAGTGCCTTAGAAGGATGTTTTCAGATGAAAAAGAGAGTAAATTGGTTATGAATGAGTTTTTAAAGTTTTTTAGATGTTCAAATAAGTTCTCTTTTGTTAATTCCATATAAGATAGATGGATATTAGAGCCTAAAATTTGGTAGAGCAATCATGATGCTGATGCCCCTAATCTTCAAAGGACTGTATTGAAACTTCTTAATCAACTATGTTCATTATCTTGTTGTGAAAGAAATTGGAGCACTTATTCTTTTGTTCATTCACTAAAGAGAAACAAGATGCTTTTAAAAAAAGTAGAGAATTTAGTTTTGTTCATTCAAATCTTCATCTAAAGAGTGAGAAGTATTCCACTGGAGAAAGTAGATTGTGGGATATTAGTGAAGATTATTGGAAAATAGATAATGTAAAAATCTTAACGTTGCAAGTTTATCTCTAGATGAGCCAATTTTGAAAAGAGAACTTATAGGAGAAAGTGGTGGTGTCAATGAAGAAAGAGAATATTAGAATTAATTTAAGTTGATCATTGTCTTCTACTTGGTAGTGCTTAACTGCTTAACTGCTTATTCTATTATATTTTGTGATGGCATTAGACATCTTGAAATTGTATTTTTGAACATCCAAGTATTTAATATTTAATTATTTATATAGCCGTACCCGTATCCTAAAATTTTAAAAAATTGCCGTGTTCGTGTATCGTATCGTACTTGATGCTCATACTCATATCGGTGCTTCTTGGGTTATCATTAATTCTCAACAATTTCTTTTTAATTTTTTACTTTTTTTTTTGTTAAAGCTTTTGCTAGATTGAGTGGTCATAATTTGATAGCTTAGTTTTAGGAGATAGTTGAGGAAAACAATCATCTGTTACAGGATTTCTAAAAGGTAAGAGGAAGAATGCAAGAAATAGAAAATATAGATAAGTAAAAACTATTTCATAATTATATTTGACCTTTTATATGGAGAATAACAAATAAGGACCTTATAAAAATATTAATGTTAAATTATGATTTTTTTAACACTAACGTTCTCAAATTTCAGTGCTTCTATTGCCATATTTCAATACTAAAGTTTTAAATTTGACATTAATTCTTACAAAATCCTTACATGCCATTCTCCCTATATTATATATATATATATATATATATTCCTTTAAATCCTATTAAAAATCAAAATTTTACCTTGTTCTCCATTTGTTCTGAAATTATATTTTTATATATTTTTAATTTATTCGTTGTAAATGAAATTAATTGTTAACACAATACCTGTTTTATACAATTAAATTGTTAGCCTATCTTTGATATCATATTAAAAATTAAATCTTAATTTCATTTGTTTGGAATTGTAAGAAAATTTCTTTAGTATATGCATATAAATCAAAAGTTTAAGAGCATCCAATATAATTTTTAAGATAAAAATATTGAATATAATTTGATCAAAAAAAATTTGGCAAAATCATTTGGTCAAATTATTCACATGTTAAACAAAAATTATCTCAAAAAAATCTTTTTAATAGTTGGAATGAAGCTCTTAAAAGTTAAAAGAGATCACTGTATACAAGTCTGGTTTCTTCCTCCAAACTTGACAATTGTAAAGAAGTGATTGCTTCAAACATTTTAGGAGAATATATTTTCTCTTATTAATCTGTTTTACATGCATAGATTTATTAACTATTATGTAAAGGAAAAAACTACGTTTTAATGTAAGAATGTTTTGAATATAATTCATTTGTTATTATTCTTTTGATAAAAAAATATTTAGATGAGTTGAGTTTTGAAAGTTTATTAGGTCAAGATAAATCTTTAAGGTTAAAAAAGCATTTATAAAAATATTTATAAATTACTAACTAACAAGATTCTCAAATTATCATCTAGATTTGACCATATCATCTTATAAGTTATGGATAAATCCTTATGGATCAACCTTTTTTTTTTTGGGTTCATTATTGTTTTATTATAAAAGTAAAATTCAAAAAACTTTTTTTCCCTCATAAAGAAATCATTTCTGGAGGAAAGCCATAACAATTAAATTAATTAATTGATAATTGACTCTCTAATTTATTTAGATTTTCAATTTAGTTTTCTACCCTTGCATCTTTTTTAGTGATTAGTGATATAAATCACCATGATTGAACTCAAAAACAATGAAATAAAAATATATTTGAAGGCAAAAGTAAATTTTACCTTTAAAAAAAAATAATAATATAGTTATTGAGTAATAATTATAAATTTAAAATAAAAATTATATAAAAGAGATTATAACAACTCATCTTTTTTTTTTTTTTTTAAGAAAACAGAAGTTACGCAAATTAATATGAAAGGATTTTTTTTTTTTTTTTTTATCGTCGTCAAGAATCCCTTCCTATAAATATTACCGTTCGAACTCATCCTTGACAATTAGGGTTTCTAACGATTCAGTTCTTCCCTTTCTCTACTTCCTCGGCCGCCTCTTCTCATGATTTTGTGCTAGTGATGTGATGTTTTCGAGCTTCTCTTCTTTCGTTTGATTCAATTTCGTTTTTCTTTCACGTTCATTCTGGTTGCTAAAAAAATCCTTGAGAAGGAGTAGTATTTATCTTGATCTGTAATATTGTGAGATGCATTATTCTCGTCATTCATCTACTGGGTCTGCTGATACACTAATAAATAAATAAACAGTGGATTTCTGTTTCAAAATTGAAGCAATTTATTGTACTTTTCACCATCAATCGCTTATTGCTGTTTGGATCTCTCTGTGTTATAGGCTTTTGAAGCCACTTGATCAGTCAACTATGAAGCAACTTGATTTGTGTCAACCAGACTTAAAGTCAGGTGTCTACCTTCATTGTTAGTCTGGTAGGGACTGTTACAAGTCTGGGAAACAAAATATGGAGAAGGATTTTGATGAATGAGATTCTCATTTATCTCAAATACTTCTCTTGCAGATGTCCATCGTTGCCCAGTGATATGCATTTCTGCATTTCTTGTTATTTGAGCTACATCTGGGCTTCACATCACAAATCCCCCTTTCCTGGGGCCAACAAAGTTGTGTTAATATTATGTTGTGCATTACAATAAGATAGTGATATATTTGTTCTGTGATGTTGATACTTGAAGTTAAGCATTGTAAGTTTGACTTTGTTTTCACATTCTACTGATTTGAACTATCTGGTTTTTGGCCCTTTTGAAGCCATTTTATCAGTCCAGTATGGCAGTATTCTTGTGAAGTCATTTTGTTGTGATCCAGACGTTGTCAGCTGCCTACTTTTTCTTGTTGAGTTGGTGGGAACTGTTACATCATTACATGTCTAGTAAATGAAATATGGATGAAGTGTCTGGTGAATGGGATTCCCATTTATCTGATAAACTTTATCTTGAAGGTGTTAGTTCCCAAATATTTATGCTGTGTGCAATAAGATAGTGACATGTTTGTTTTATTGTGTTGGTATTTTAAGCTAAGCATTGTAAATTTGACTTTGTTTTGACTTTCCACTGATTAGAATTTGAACTCTCTGGTTTTGTTTTGCCCTTTTGAAGCCGATTTTATCAGTCTAGTATGGCATTATGCTTTGTGAAGTCATTTTTTGTTGTGATCCAGACATTGTCAGGTGCCTACTTTTTTTAAGTTAGTAGGGACTGTTACATGTCTGGTAAATGAAATGTGGAGGAAGTGTCTGGTGAATGGGATTCCCATTTATCTGATAAACTGCCTCTTGGAGGTGTCCATCGTTGCCCAATAACATGCCTTTGCTGCTTCTTGTTACTTGAGCTACATCTGGACCCCACACTTCAAAGTACAAAACTCAACACCTCTCTCAATTCTTAAAAATTTGAACCTTGAAAATCCCGAATGAGTGTTATGTTGAATCAGTTGAATGTAACTTTTGCATCTCTTGTAGGTTTCTTGAAGGGAATCCGTTTCTGTCCACATCATTCTTAAGACAATTTATTCTTTTACATGAATGAATGAGATCTGCTTTAGAAGCAATGTTTAAGAAACTGGACTAGATAAACTAGAAAGATTGGTGGGTTACTGTTTCCATGGTTTAACGAAAATAGATGACATAATAATTAAAAGAAAAAATATTTATATGCATATGTAAATTAAACAATAAAAATATCAACAATATTATTCACAGTTTAGAGTTGTTCAGATAAAATATATTAAGTTTTAAGTTCCTCAATTTTTTCATGTAACTTATATATGTGTGCGTGTTATTTATATTATTCGTTCTCTTAAAGCAAATAAGTTTTTAACTTTCCAGTTTATTTCATATAATGTTAATAATGAATCATATCAAAATTTTACTATAATAATTTAGAAGAAAGTTTATATTAATATTTCTAAGTTAATGAAAAAATATTACTAAAATAAGTGTAATAATAAAGGAACACTTCAAAATGGTCTAACTAGTTGTTCATATTTTGGGTTTAAGTGGTTAATGAGTCAAATCAAGTTGGTTTTGTATTCGCATGGGGTTTGCGTCAGGTTGGGTCTTAATTAAGTTAAAACACCGAAAGCAATGAGTGATTGTAATGAATCAAGCCATAGGAAAATTCTTGAAAAAGACCTCAGGGTAAAATTATTTAAGGTTGGATGAGAAATTTCTTGAAAAAGCCAATATCTTAATTCATTTGAAGAATCTTGTTCTTTTTTGTCTAAATAATTTTAGCATTTGATTTTTTAGCAATTTCTCCTAAGAAATTTACAGGTAATGTATGCCATTGCAATTATCTTGGGCCGAAGATTCATTACAATTATGCAATACAAAGAAAGGATTGAAAGTTTGGTAAGGCTACTCCGTTGGTCAGTCACCTCCTCTCGCTACCCTTCATTGCGAGTCTGACTAGCAATGTTTCAAGTCCGAAATATATACAAGGGACATTTTTCTCAATACTCTGTCCCTCAAAAAATATAATAAATTTTTAATTAAATTATGCCCTTTAATAAATTAGTTGATTATTTTTAAATTAATATTATTTTTTATGTTTATTTTAATTTAATATGATTGTTACTTAAAAGTGAATGATTGAATAATTTATTTATAAAAAGTATTGCTGGAGAAAAAACTCATTAATTATATATTCAAAATTAAAAATACCTTATATTTTTAAAAATTTAATATTAAAAAATGTCTTAAATTTTTTAAGAGAGGTAGTCCTTCTATCCATCATTGGCCTGCAATAATGAAAGACGTTTTAATAAGTTAAAAATGAAATTTAATAAAGAACCATCATTAGGAAACATACAAATTGTTAAACATGCAACAAATTTGGATGTTTATCATTGGGCAAATTATATATACAAAGTTGTCATTTGCATCGGAATCCCAAGCTATTGAGAAGTAGTTGCTGAGGATAAAATTGGTTGGGCATTCAAATGATTCACAATTTCATCTCCTGTCTAGCAAGGAGACAACTTGGATTGCACTGTATTTACCATCCTTGAACTTGCTTAACTTTGGTGCCATTCAACCTTGCAATATTCAAGCGTTCTTCTCCTCCGTAATCACAACAGCAAGCAACTCCAAAGGTATCAAACCTGTCTCTCTAGCCATGACTCTGCTGGAGAGGCAATCCACTGAATGCATTGGCCATCTCGAACACTGTTTGGAGATGCAATCTACTTTTCTTCAAAGCAACCAACAGGTTTTAGAACAACACACCCAATACATTATGATATTAAGCAGATGATGACCTAGACTCCTGTTGATCAACGTATTTGCCTTTTGAGCATTTACTTAGAGAAAAGGGCCCTATATGGCATCTTGCCTTCATCAAACAGAGGTGTTTGTTGGAGTTCTCTAGGGATGACTGCTATCACAAGGCGTAGTGAAGTTTGGGGGTGACAAATTACAGATGCAAGGCTTGTAACGCTACAAAATTTTTAGGTATTTTTGCACCTCATATTTGTTTCCTTTTTCTTGACAATCAACATTAACAAATGTTAGTCAAATCTAATGAAATAGTGATTTGTTGAACTTATCATAAGAAGTTTACAAGTATTCTTACACCATTATTTTAAGAATACTGGGTGCTATTAGATGAAAAGTTTTGAAGTATTTTTGCTCTTTAACCTTATAATCTAATTACTTTGTTGTGGAGCAGGAGGCAGGATAGTAATTGCCGCTGCAATGTGATTAAAATTTGCTGGAATGTTACTTTCAATATCAGGAGCTGGTTTCATTTTCTAGCAGTGTTGCCCAATTCCAATCCATGTTATCAAAAATGTTGGCAGAGATGTCGCCCTATATTTGAAATGTCAAGGAAAAAGACAATTATGATAACCATGTGAATTTGAACAAAAGGAAGACGGCGAAATGAATGATGATAGGAGATCGAGAAAATTTAATCAATGAAAAAAGATTAAAAAAAAAGATCGGAGGGATTAATGACAATTGGGGATAGAAAATTTTAATATCAATAATTAAATGAAATGAATTTGAATTATGAACTATTAAATATAATTTGAAAAAGCCTTTTTCCAATGAGGTTGCCCTTACAACTTTTAAATAAAAATATATAAATATAAATATATAATTAAATGTGTATATATATATCATAATATATAAATATGATATATAATAAAAAAGTTAGTTGATTGATTACAACAAATACTACTATTGGGCTTATTTCTTTAGTCTCATTTCACCACTTAACCCCATAAAAATTAGACACCTAATTATATTAACATTAATAATTAATTATTAGATGTGAAATGATGCTTTGAATTACAAACTTTACTTGGAGAATTTAATTACTGAGAGTCCCGAGAAATAAAATTAATTCAGAATATGAGAAAGTAAAAAATTAAATAATTAAAAATCAAATAAAATATGAATGTGATAATAAATATAACCAATCAGATTTTTCTTTAAAAAAAATTATCTCTCTTATTATTTTACAAGAATTAATAAAGGTTTTAAATCTGAAAAAGTGTGATGATAAATGTAATTGGCTAATCAAATTCTTGCTACAAGATTTGAAGATATAAATAAATAGATAGATAGATTGTTTAGGGTGTTTTTAGTAATTTTCATTATAAATACATGAATCAAATAAAAATTATACTAGATTCTTTTTGCATAAATAACACACTTTTAAAACATAAGGGACAACATAATTATTAATCTCCATAATTTTATCAAGCTTTGTTTTTAGGCTTCATAATTTGCTTTCAATTCTTATAGTCCCTGTTATTTAATATTGTTAGGGAATTGAAGAACAAATATCACTCAATCTCGCTTAAATTACAAGGACTGAAAAAACTATAGTGATTAAAAATAAAATCCAACAAAATTACAAGAATCAATAAATATGTTTTCCCAAAACTAATTCTATTCTCTTTCCTATTTCAAAGCAGCCGTTGCAACTTTAGTTATGTCATAATCCACAATATTTCAAGTCCTTTAAAAAAAAAAAAAAGCAGAAGATAAGACTTAACTTGTCGTTGATATGATGATATTATAATCTAGCTTGTTCATGCTTCTCATAAATAATGTCATGGATTTTTGGTCATGTGATTTTATTTGCTGACAACATCATATATTGGATTATGGTATTATCATGTTAATAACTTGACCTGTATTGCAGAATTTTTTAAAAAAATCATTTTTGATGTTTTGCCTTTTAAACGTGTATTGTTATGTACGCATATAATATTATGTTTATTAAATTATAAGGTTATTGGTTTGTTTATTAAATTATAAGATTATTAGTTTGACAGTTAGTTTGACTCGTGAAATCATGAAAATCATGACTCATTAGCCTTTTCAATTTGACATCCAATCCAAATTTTAAAATATTAAACAGTACATATTTAATTCTTTAACTTAATGTAACGAATTCTTATTTTATAAAATATTGTTGGGTTCAAATTCAACCCTAGCGTATGTAGCAAAACCATACGAGAGGTGTTCACCTCCCTCAATACTTGGAGGAGACAATATAGTGCCCGTTTGGATAAGGAGAAACGCGCGTTTTGGACCCAAAATTAATTTTTTCTGTCAATCTATCCAAAGTCGAAAATATCAAAAATCGATTCTGGGCCAAAACGCGCGTTTTTCCCGAAGCTCCCTTCGTCCGCTTTCCTGCCAAAAGTTTGTCAAAAACGTTGGGAAAATTACAAAAAAGGCCCGGAAAAAATTACAAAAAAAACACATAATTTAATAAAATAAATTAAACTCTCTTCTTTTCTTTTTTTTCC